TGACAAATCTATAGCCAGCATTATATTAAACAGAGAAATACTAAAAGCAGTTCCTCTAGAATCAGGATTAAATAAAACCCCTTATTCAATATGATGTCTCAAATCATAGCTAGACTAATAAGACATAAGAAAGAAATGAAAGGGATAAAAATAGGAACGTATCTCTATTTGCAAACATAACCCTATACTGAAAAGACCCTAAAGACTCTACCAGAAAATTCCTAAACCTGATAAATACTTTCAGCAAAATAACAGGGTATGAAACGAACATACAAAATTCAGCAGCCTTTCTATATACTAATAATGATCTTGCCAAGAAAGAAATCAGGTGAAAAAAAAAAAAGGCCCATTCACAGTAGCTAAACAAACAAACAAACAAACAAACAAACAAACAAACAGAAAAACCTAGAAATAAACCAAACCAAGGATGTGAATAACCTCTACAATAAAAACTTTAAGATACTGAAGAAATCAAATGAAGACACCAAAAGATGGAAAGATCTTCCATTCTCAGAGATTGGCAAAATTAATACTATAAAAATGGCTGTATTACTGAAGGCAATATGCAGATTAAAAACAATCTGCACCAAAATTCCAACAATAATCTTCACAATACTAGAAAACAAAAAACAAAAATCCTAAATTCAAATGTAAGCCCAAAAGAGCCTGAGTAGCCAAAGTCATCCTAAGCAGAAAGAGTAATCCTGGAGGTCACACTTGCAAGCTGAGTCTTTCTAATAAACACTATATAGTGCTAGCAGAAAAACAGGTAGCCCAATGGAATATAACAGTGGCAACAATGATGTCAAAAACACACAGAAAGAGCACAGTTTCTTCAACAAATGGAGCTGATAAAACAGGATATCCACATATAGAATAACTTAATCAGATCTGTTATCTCTCATCCTGTGCAAAATCAATTAAAAATGGATCAAAGACCTTAATATAAGACCAGAAACTATAAAACTGCTAAAGGAAAGCTTAAGTAGAATACTTAAAGATGTAAGCACAGGCAAGGATTCTGTGAGTCCCAAGAATTGACAAATGGGATCACATAGTATTAAAAAACTTACAGAATAGGAAATACTCTGCCAACTATGTATCAAGCAGGGGATTAATATCTAGTCTCTATAAAGAATTGCAAAAATTGAGCTGGCTGGTGGTGCATGCCTTTAATCCCAGCACTTGGGAGGCAGAGGCAGGTGGATCTACATAGCAAGTTCCAGGTCAGCTGGGGCTATACCGAAACCCTGTCTCAAAAAGACAGACAGACAGACAGACACACACACAAGAAATGCAAAAATTAAGCAATAAAGCAACAAATCATCCAGTCAATAAATCAGTTAAGAAACTGAATAGTTTTCAAAAGAAGAAATGCAAACTACCAATAAATACTTGATAAAGTGTTCAACACCCTTAGCCATCAGGGAAATGCAAATTAAAAGTGTTTTGAGATTGCATCTCACCCCAGTCACAGTAATTATCATTAAGAAAACAAATAACCAATACCAGCAAGAATCTGAAGAAAGAGGAACCCTTATTTACTGCTAGTGGGAATGCCATGTGGTACAGCCAACTGGAAGTCCATGAGGAAATCTCTCAAAAATCTAAAAATATGATTACTATATAACCCAAGTATATCATTCCTGGGTGTATACCCAAAAGATTCTAAGTCAAAATATCTCAGGGGTAACTGCACATCCATGTTTATTGGCTATACTATTCGTAAGAAGTGGAATCAGCCTAGATGGTTATCAATGGATGAATGGATAAAGAAGATACAGTACATATACACAATG